CCCGTCTCAAAATAAAACAAAAAAAAAAAAAAAAAGAGCTGAAGATGTAGCTCATTGTAAAAGCCCTGGGTTCAATCCCCAATACCAAAAAAACCCAGGCATCAAATTGGACTCGTGGAAAGGATCACTCCTGCTTCGGGGGTAGTCAGTTAGTGACCTTTCAGTTCTGTATTTTCCAAGTAACGACCATATAGATTTGCAGTAGTTTAAGTTTAAGTTCAGATCAAAAACAAAATAAACGAGGAAACTATCTTTCCTCTCTCCCTCTCTCCCAAGAGTACAGCACTGTCTGCAGCCCCTGCGAAGGAGAAGCTGTCTGGTGCCATTAGCGTCCCTGAAGAGCAGTGTTTTGCATGTCTGCTCTACATCACCGCCGTTCCTCCAAGACCCGACCCAGTGACTGAGGATGCTGGCCTCACCGTGCCTTCCACCATGGCCATGCTGTGTGTGGACAATCTGGGCTCCTCTTTCTCGGTCTCCCCCGGGGTCACTCGTGTGACTGTGGTACCCAGCTCTGGAGGGTCCGAGGTGGTGTCCTCACGTGTTCCACAGTCAGTGCTGGCTCTCTCTCTCTTCTGTGTCTTTCTTACAAAAGAAAAAGGAATCATATGGTTTATGGAAGAAAATTTAGAAATGCTGTCAAAACAAGGGAAAGAAAATAGCACTCACCTATAATGCCAGCACCTCAGAATAACCATTGTTGGTATTTAGACATATATATCTATCCAGCCTTACTCTAAAATATTGGTAACAATGTGTAGTCTACAAAAATGCATATTATTGATTACTTCTTTTTTTTTTTTTTTTTTTTTTTGCAGAACCAGGGATCAAACTCAGGACCTTGTGCTTGCCAGGCAGGCATGGCACCACTGAGCTACATCCCTGGCCCTACTTTTTTGTTTTGTGACACAGGGTCTTGCTATGTAGTTCAGGCTAGCCTTGAACTTGCAGTACTATGTAGTCTAGGGTGGCCTCGAACTCATGGTGATCCCTGCCTCAGCCTCCCAAGAGCTGGGATTACAGGTGTGTGCCACTATGCCAGGCATTGATTATTTTCTTGATAGGCACTGTGCTGTATCCTCTGCATAGATTATTTCATTTAATACTCACTGCACTCCTACAGAACAGATACTATTACTATTACTATTACTATTACTATTACTGTCTTTAGGGAAGGAAAAATTGATGCTTAGCGACCTTATACATACATATATACTGTCTTGTAACTCCTTTTTTCATATAACATCATGCATAATTCCTCACTTGATTGCTTTTGAACAGGCTGGATCAAAATAAAAAAGTAACAAAGACTTTACATAAAAATAATGTGGGTTTTTTTACAAGGGAGTAATACTCAGCCACAAAGAAACACAAACTTGAGACATTTCTAGGTTAATGGATGCACCTTGAGACCATAGTCTTAAGTGAAATAAATCAGACACACATGTAAATATCACATTGTCTCTCTGGTGTGAGAAGCTGAAAGGGTAAATAAGGACCAAAATGTATAGTAGATAATGGGAAATTGTTCAAAAGGAAAGGGAAACTGAAAGTTGGAAGGGGGAAAAGGAAGGGAAAAGAAAAAAAATGGAAACAAAGCTTTTGTAAATGAGGAGGGGAGGGGATTGGGAGAAAAAGAGGAATCAAGGTATACCATAAACAGGTACAAATTCCCCTTAATGAATGTGATCGTTATGTATATTCAAATTGTGCCAATAAAATCAATTTTAAAAAACAATGACTTTACAATATTTGGATCTCTGATTTCTGGCCAAATTTGCTTCTTGAGCCTGTCAGGTGATTGCAGATTAGAACAAAATAATGATGCATGCCCTTCACTGCAAAGTACTAGCTTTGACATTTCAATCTTTTGTAAGAGCTTCAAGGCTTGATTTTGGCATAGTTGCTTGGTAGAGAATATAGCATCTGATTTTGAATGTTATGGCATGTTTCCTAAAAGCCCAGCAGCGTGAATGTGAAGTTGGAGCCTGTCCGCCCCCAGGGAGCCAGCGTGGAAACAACAGACACCAGGGACCACAGTGAAACCGAGTTTTTGTAGATGTGTGGCGTATCTGCTTCCATGCAAAATTCTAAGTCCTACCTCCTTCTCAATAAATGAACACATCCTTCCAGTGACACAGCCTTGCACTTCGATATTTAATCACTAAATGTTGCATATCCTAAGACAAAAATTGGCAAAGGTATATGGTAAGTAGGACAGGAGGGGAAGCTTGAAATATTTGGGAAGAGAAAGGCAGCAAGGTCCTTTTTTGACATGAAATCATAGATTAATAACACGGAAGGATTTGAAAATATCAAATGTAATATGAGAAGCAACATAAGTCTTCAAATTATATACTTTACAATTACTTTGTAAATGCAGTGCGTGTTTGTTCTTGTTTATGACTCACCAGCAGTTTCTAGCTGTCAGAAATGAAAGATTCAGCAGGCTTTGCTGGAAAGATTTTTAAAAATAAAGCTCTTTAATCTCTTTATTGGAATAGTGCTCCCAGTTCTCATTTCCAGCCAGCCACAAATTAAGAAAGATGAACTTATGAACAAAGCACTTTACTAATTAAAAAGGAAGCATTTGTATAGGCCTGATGTTACTTTTTACTTAATATCATGGTATTTTCCATTTATGAAGAAATACACAAGAAGCATAAGCCAATTAGACTACGCTTTCCTGTGTAGTGTAAGTGCTGGTGATTACATAGCCCTGTAAATAGCCTGTGGATATTTACCTCTGGAAATGGAACCTTTGGTTCCTAAATTTCTCTTTTGTAACAAAACCATACACACTATCAAAGAAAGGGTAGAGGCTATTAAATTAGCCAAATCAGAAGTGAATGGGCAAATAAGTTATTTTTTGTATGCCAATTACAGTAGATTAGAAATAGCTGCCTAGAATACTGAGTTGAAATGGATTCCAAGATTAGCAACAGAGTTCAGAGATATGATAGTGACAGACCTCAGGGACCAGCAGGCCTGCCTCAGGACTCCCACCCTTGCTAAGGCAGAAGGAAGCACTGCTGCTCTTTACATGAAATATCTGCTTCGTACTTTTCATCACAACCGTCCAACATGTGTTTATCAAACAGTAACTGTGCCCAGAAATGTTCTAGGTATTGGGGTCACAGCTATAAACAAATACCCAGAAACACACATTAACTGACATTTGAATGTATTATACCTCACTTAAGCTTCATAGGGGTCTAGCAAAATATTAGAGAAACAGGTGGTGATAGACACCTATTATAGCTTAAGAGATAGAATCCTACCTGTGTGTGGTGATGCACACCTGTAATCCCAGCACTCAGGAGGCTGAGGCCAGGAGTTCGAGGCCAGCCTGGACTCCATAGTGAGACTCTGTCAAAAAGAAAGAGGGAGGGAGGGAGAGAGAGAGAGAGAGAGAGGCATAAAAATATTAAATATACTTTCTTACCTTAAATATATTCATCTGAATCATAGGGCAAAATAAGCCAGTCAACCACCGAGCAAACAAAATACTTAGAAGCACTCTCACTCAATGCTTTTAAAATATTTTAATATACTTTAAAAGCATTTAAATTACAATCAGGAATAAGATTTACCACTTCCATTCAGTATTCAGGAGGAATATCAGAGTTGAGAGGAATAATCAAGAGTGTTCTTATTAAAGAATATAGATTGTTTACAAATCCCAAAGGTTCCATAGACACAAATAATATGATGGTGCAATTAGATTTCTAGGTGCAAAATCAACACATGGAATCAACAGCATTCCTCATATCATTAACTAACTAGAAAATGTAACAGTAAAAAAATCCTTCTCAACCCTAATAATAACAGAATGCAAACTGGATGTCAACTGAAATCCATAACAAGCTCAACATAAAGTTCATATTGAAATACCAAGAAAGGGTAGATGATAGATGCAATAATGAAGACCAAGATGGGGGAACGCTCATACTACAGGATACCAAGACTTACAGTAATTAAGGCAGCCCATTGGAAACAGTGTGTCAGGCTGCAAGCAGACCCCTGCACCAATAGAAACGTGAAACTGGCTCTGCACATGCCAAAGGTTGAATCTAGACCTGTATCTTTCACCATGTACTAAACTAAAATCAGAACGGATCAAAGAACTTAATGTTAATACAGAAACACTTGTTCTCCTGGAAGATAGACTAAGTAAAACTCTTCAGGTCCTAGGCATAGGCAAGAACTTCCTGAACAGAGCCCTGGTTGCATAGGAAATAGTACCAAGAGTCAACAAATGGGATCGTAGCAAATTAAAAAGCTTCTACACAGCAAAAGAAACTGCCTACAGAGTGAAAAGAAGACCTACACAATGGGAAAAAATTTGCCAGCTCTTCGTCAGACAGAGGACTAACATCTAGAATGCATAAAGAACTCAGAAAAAAATTAGACTCCCCCTAAATAAGAGACTCAATCAAAAAATGAGCAAGAGGGTCAGGGATTTAGCTCAGTGGTACAGATCCTGCCTGGCAGGTGTGAGATCCTGAGTTTGATCCCCAATACCAAAAAATAATGAGCAAGTGAAATGAAAAGACACTTCACAGAAGAAGTGTACATGACCAATAGATACATGAGGAAATGCTCAACACTGCTAGCCATTAGAGAAATGCAAATTAAAACTGAGATTCCCTCTTACTGCAGAAAGAATCACTATTATCAAGAAGTCAAATAATAAATGCTGGTGAAGCTGAGGGGAAAAAGGAACGCTTCTGCACTGGTGGTGGAGATATAACTAGTACAACCACTATGGAGATCAGCATGGCAATTCCTCAAAACACTAAACATAGAAATTCCTGCCAGCCATCCCCCTTCTACATAGCTTCCTAAGAGAGTTAAAGGCATCATATTACAGTGATATATGCATCCCCATGTTTATGGCAGCACAATTCATGATAGCTAAACCTTGGCCTATATGTTCATTAATAGATGAATGAATAAAGAAAATGTGGTATTTATACCCAATGAGCCCTATTCTGCCATAAGGAAACATAAGGTCGAATCACATAGGTAAATGGATACATCTTGAGTCCATTATATTAAGTGAAATAAATCAGACACAAGCTTAAATATCACATGGTTTCTCTCGTATGAGAAACCCAAAATATAAATAAAAAGCAAAATAAAGAGATAATGGGAAGAAGGGAGACAGATCTTTTTCAAATGGGAAGAGGATCAAGAGATAGAGGGGGAGGGAGGGAAGGGGATTTAAAAAGGGATTCAGGGCTGGGATGTAGCTCAGTGGCGCCACCGCCTGCCTCGCAAGCGCAAGGTCCCCAGTTCGATTCCCGGTACCAAAAGAAAAAAAGTAAAATTAAAAAATAAAAATAAAAAGGGATTAAGATATGTTCTGTACATGTACCAGCTCCATGCAAGCAATGTAAGCATTATATAGTGCAAAAATGTACTAATAAAAAGTAAACAAATAAATAGGAACTTGATATGTTTCAAGTTGTATTATCATCAATGGAAAAATGGACTAGTACCAATTTTTCTTTGGAAAATTGAATATTTTTATTGAAAAAATAATATTCTTACACCACACACACAAATACACACATACACACACAATTATAGACTTAAAATGAAAGGCCAAATCCTTAAAACTTTCTAAAGGAAATACAGGAAAATATCCCTATGACCTTGAGGTGGGAAAGAATTCTTACATAACGCATAAGAAGAACAACATTGATGAATTTAAATTTCTATACAACAAAGACTCTTAAACAAAGTAAAAGATAAGCTGCAGATTTGGAGAAAGTACAGTGAATGTAAGTGAGATAAAAAGATTGGTTTCCAAAATATATGAAGTATTCCTACAAAACGTTTGAACAGGGCC